TTTACACAATTTCTTCAACTAACGAATTGAAACTTAATTGTGGGATTTATTGCTCGATAACTGATCATAAATGGTGATGATACAGACTTGAAAAAGGGAAAGAATGGCTAAGCTGGGGAGGGGGTGGAATTGAATAGAATGAATGATTGGTGAGCGTGAGGTGTGTGCGCCAATAGAGATATGATACGAGAGTGCGATGGGGACGTTAATAATGAATTCTTTCTGGATTTGTCACATGCATATTCACATTATAATATTACAAATTCTACTGCAAAGAGGAGGAGGTGGTGGTGTAAAAGATGACAAGAGGGAGACACAATAGAGATGAACGAGAGTAATTGTATTTTGGAAGTTTCTTTCTTCTCATGGAAGCATACGCCATAATCGAGTTCCACTTTACAGCGTTACATTTGTTTTCACTTTTTATTCGTATATTCTGCAAACTAGAAGAAGCTCATTTTAAGCGAAAAAATTGTGGAATATTTGGAATTGATCTTTTCTTATAGGCAGATGGAGGGGTTACCTGCCCCTCTCAATGTCCCTCTCGGCTCTCAATTGTCTCAAATAATAATTAATGTTGTATTTGTACAATTAAAAGAAAATAGAGGAAAAAATGAAAAAGAAAAAAGTAGATAAAACGAGGCATATTATAGCAATTTTTTTTTATTAATAGCAGAAAATCCTCCTAGAAAGGTTTCCATGTGTGATATACCCTCGTATCTATTGAAAATCCCAGAAAACCTCTGTTTTGAAACCTTTTGTAAGAAAAACTCTCATCTCGTCAAGATCTGTCAAATTTACCTTAAAAACAGTAAAAGAAGTCAATATTAAAAATGAACAATTGCAATTTCAGTACCAAAACTTTTTATTTTTTCGCAAATTAAATACAAATTTTTTATGTGCCATCCACAATCTCAAACCTTTAAAACTTTATTTTCCACCCCACCCCACTTCATCTTCTTCCTCAAAAAAACTTCTCTTTTAAATGAAACCAAGAGAAAAATAATCCCATCTAGATAAATTTGAAGGTTTAATTAACATTCTGAATTTTAACATTGTATACGCATGAAAATGTGAATGATTTCTTTTTCACACTATAATAGAGAAAATCTCTAAGTTCGGTTTATCCCCCAAAAATTTCGTTATTTCTCAGCTGCACACAAAATCAATGCATCACTTACACATGCGTGGCATTTGTGGAAGACCAGCCATTGCTCTTTACTCCTTCACCACTGAAATAAAGTTATATATATAGCGTTTAGTAATTTAATGCATAAGACAATAAAAAATTACTACATCAATGTGTCAAATCAGTAACTGCTATATGCATGTCACATAGAACGAGTACGACAGTGAACGACTACAAATAGTATTACCATCTAAGCAAACAAATTTACTAGGAAACTACAATTGCATAATAAAATCTTACAAAAGATGATTCACTACATGACAAATATTTTGGACCCTTTATATATGTATATTTCTAATTTGATTTAAATAAGCACTAAGTGTTTGTTGTTCCCTTTTATTTTCTATTGTGACATGGATATTTTTTTTCCCTCTAATTTTTTATTCCATTTTCCAAGTTTAATCAACTTACTTTCTACTTTAATTTCTCATTAACGTGTATATAGTTACAAGCAACCAAATATGCCACGAGTTTGTGTTCAATTTTTGAACCACCATAATTGATTTACATTATCTCTCTTTAGTATTGGCTTGAGGTTGGTCACTTACCACCTTATCTACACCATTTTTTCAACACACGATAATTTATTTTATAATGTAATATGTAGTTTGACTTTGGTGGAAGCACTTCAATGGCAGTATTAGTGCAGAAGTGATGCGAGAGCACTAACAGGCAGGTTAATTATAGCTTAATCAAATTGATATTAAGATAAATAAATAATAAAAAAAATGATACACCCTTTCAATGTACAATTAATACCATGCATTGTAAGTAGATGTTCAATGTTTACATGTCCAGATTGGCTGTCCATATATATATATATATATGACACCCCCAAATTTAGGAATCTAAATTTGAAGATATTATCTTTTAACTTTATTTTGAAATCATAAATGCGGAAGCGATTTAATTTTTTTTGACAAAATGAACATCATCGACTTCATTTTGGAAATAGATTTGTACTTAATTATAATCATAAGGCAATAAAAGAAAGTTTACTTTATTTCAAAACGAAATATAGAACAATGAAATTAATTGTCAACTTTAATCACAAAAATGAATCCAACAATTAAATATGATATTACTGAGTCCGTGTCACCACAAGTCGTCACCTCGCATAATCTCGCTTTCATCATTTGAAAATGGGGAGGGGTAACGAGGGATGAGCTAACGCTCAGTAAACAAACCTCATGCGTATGGTGCATGCTCATGATATGTATATGAGTTACTTGCAAATAAAAAGTATTTTTCATTATGTATCCCTATTCTTTCATTTCTTTAAAAATGTTAACATTGACATCGTGAGCTCACTTGATGTATCGCCTATAGCCATTTAGAATACAGTGGGCCATGTTATTTGGAACCCGATCGAATCTACCAATAGTACCGCAAAGCGGTTAACATTAACATTGAACATTCATTATTCAACCGCAGAGCGGCTAACATTAACATTCATCATTTATCATTGGTCGGGTGCACCAGTCCCCCACGCCCCATTTCCCACTCACACTTTCATGGCATAGACATACATCTCGTAATAAAAACATTCGGGATACATATCTTTAAACATTCATTGAGTCATTGACATTTGGAAACTTTTGTTCATTGAAACTTCATGTATGCTTATGGATGCGTTGTCGTGCATTAATATGTCATGAGAAGCATTCATAACATAAAATTTGATAAATATACATCAGGTTCACATAATAGCAAATTAGATAACACGTTCATATATTTAATCATGGAATGTACACATGAAAATAAAGGGAGGTTTACTTACAAATTAATACTTAACTGGTTAGGAAAGATTGTCTGAAATTTAAAAATAGTGCTCCTAATATATATATAATCAAATCCTAAATAAGCAAAATCATATATTCCCATGTCACAATATATTTAGAAAATTTGAATTTTACCGATAACAACATTTCTAGTTATAGTCATTAATCAACATGAAAATGTAATTAACATATATAATTCAATATATGTCACATATCAAATTTATGGATTACGCTTCTTTTTTTTTCTTTTTTTTTTCCCCCAGAATGATACAAAAGAATGCAAATAATATGTCAATATCATACTTTAAAATTAAGGAGCACGCTTTCAAACTTTTAAGTATTGGCAAAATCGTTATCATGTTGAAGCAATTTGTTAGAAAGATAAAAGGAGGGAACTAGAGAGACTGAACGGTAATGAAAAATCGATGTTTAAAGATAAACATATTAAAAGAGAATAGACAATTCACCACTAAGAACATGTGACTATAAAGAACAGTTAAGGAGATCGGACTGCTTAAACATTAACTTAGACAACATATCCGCAATTCGTATGAAATCACTTACGACCAAATTAAAGCAATTAATGTTACATCTAAAGTTAAGAATATTTCCAACCTTTTAAGTACTAACATTAATTGGTTATGGTTTTCTAGAAAATAACATGGCTGTAGCACAGACATCTTCCCTCCTTTCTTTATTTTATTTTATTTTATTTATGTCCTTATGCAAATAAACATACGACTCTTGCAAGTCAAAGAATTTAAAAGTTGGAACACCAATTTAGGAAAAGGGACCATAATTTCCAGAATTATGGAAGATAAAAATTAATATAACGAATATATCGAGACATCCTTCTTATCATTTAAAATTTAGGTACAACAGAATATTTAAGTCTCGTCAATGAAAAGAAGTGCATGCATAAATCAACATTTAGTAGATAAAAATAAGGGAAAATTGCAGCCGAGGTACCAAACATTTCGTTTATTAGCAGACTTTGCCCAAACCTTTAGTTTGTGCCACCGTGAGTACCAAACCTTTCAAAAATATACAGCTCAAGTCCGTATTAACGGTTTCCGTCAGTTTGACCCGAAAAACTGTTAGTTGACTTCAAAAATTAAAAATATAATAATTTTGACCACATAAGGTAAGGGTAAAATTATAACTCTATAATTTTAATATTTAAAAAACAATTAAATCAAAACCACCCGCCGCCCAGTTACCGCCCGCCGACACCACCACCCTCGGTTCTTACTTGATTTTCTAACAATGGCTAAAACTCCAGTTTTTCTCCTCCTCATTTTCCTGGTTGCAACATAGATTAACGCCCTAGGAAGAATTGTGGGAGGCAGAGGTGAAGAATGTGAAAATCAGTAAGTGCAAGATCTGGGCAATTACTACTTGGACCATACAATAGAAAGCATAAGCACGATGCGAATGACAGAAACTTCTTATGTTTTCACAGGTGGTGGTAGAGGAGAAGCAGGTGGTTATTTTTTTTTTTAATTTTAATTTAATAAAAAAGGATTTTTATTTTTCACCATCGAAACCTTGAACAAACTAGTAAACTTAATAATCAAACATATCAGTTGAGGCCATGATTGGCTGTTGATTAATGCACATTAAATTCCATGGATTGTTCAAGAACCCATCAGAAAATTCTTGCAACTCCTCAGCTTGGAACATGCAATTGGTGGCTGGAGGTGTCGCTGCAGAAGTTGCAACGACGATGACTGTGCTGCTGTTGATGTAATTAAGGATTTCGTTGAGGGATTGCAGTCTTTGGCTGAGTTCCATTGTTTGAGCCCGCAAGACTGAGGTGGTGTTGACTGTCAGCAGAGATGGAGGATTGGGGAATATGAAGGAGGAGATGGTTTTTTTCCCTTTTTAATTGTTTTTTTAATATTAAAATTATAAAGTTACAATTTTACCCTTGCCTTATATGGTCAAAATTATTATATTTTCAATTTTTGAAGTCAACTGACAGTTTTTCAGATCAAACTGACAGAAACCGTTAATACGAACTTGAGCTGCATATTTTTGAAAGGTTTGGTATTCACGGTGGTACAAACTAAATGTTTGAGCAAAGTCTGCTAATAAACGAAAGATTTGGTACCTCGACTGCAATTTTTCCTAAAAATAATTACTTAAAGATTATTTAAGAAATCAGTAAGCTATCTATCATTCACATCACATAGAAGAAAATAAGCACATAAAGTCTTAGTCTACTGTCATTACTTATCAATTAACAAATAAATTATAATAATATTATTAGTAACCTTGAAATTCAAAAAAAAATTATTTAGGGGTATTTGAGAACATTTTTATGTAAAAATGCATTCTAAAATAGTAACTTGATGGGAAGTGTGTAGTTGAAAAATAAAGAAAAGTTTTTGATTTACGTGTAATATTATTTTAATAAAGAATGTGTGATTAAAAAGAAGAGAGACAAAAATGCATTTTGAAAAAAATGGATACCAAATGGGGCTTAAGATAGAATACAGCTTACTACAAAAATAAAATTAATTCCTAGGCAGTAGGATCTCATAATTCCATTCTATATCATCTTCTAGAGTAGCTAGCTGAAAAGCCAATATGTACCTGTCCATTTAAATGAAAGAATGGGGATACATAGGCCTGTTTGAGCCGCATTATTTAAAAAAATATATTTTTAAATAGTGATTTGATATCATTTCAATCACATATTTTTTAATAAAATAATATTACACGTAAATCAAAAAAATTTTCCTTATTTTTTAACCACACATTTTCCATCAATATACTATTCAAGAATGTATTATTATCAAAATAATCTGGCTCAAACACCCCCAAAATGAGAAATGCCTTTTATTTGCAAGTAACTCATATACATAAGGTTTGCTTACTGAGCGTTAACTCATCCCACATTATCCCTCCCCATTTTTAGATGATGAATGCGAGATGATGCGAGGTGACGACTTGTGGTAACACGGACTCAGTAATATCATATTTAATTGTTGGATTCATTTTTGTGATTAAAATTGACAATCAATTTAATTGTTCTATATTTCGTTTTGAAATAAAGTAAACTTTTATTTTTATCGCCTTATGATTTTTATTAAGTACAAATCTATTTCCAAAAATGAAGTCAGTGATGTTCATTTTGCCAAAGAAAAATTAAATCACTTAAGTATTTATGATTTCAAGAGAAAGTTAAAAGATAATATCTCCAAATTTAGATAAATTTAGATTCCTAAATTTGGGGGGGGGGGGTGTCACAGTTGCCCAATTGGTACCAAGATTTAATTTAAGTTTTATTTAAGGGAAATGTTATGAGTTCGAATCTTGGGGAATAAAAGTACTTTAAGGCAATTTCTTATTTGAAAATAAGTTATAAAAACTATAGTAAATTTGTAATTTATTTTACATCAATTTCCACTAGGTTTCTCCGACATTTTGTAAGTGTGATGTTCCTCCCTAAGTAAAAGAAAATGTATATTTGAACGTTAAGTGATCACACGACACTCGTTGGGACGTTTTGAAGCAAGAACGTTCATGAACTCAGAGGAATTTTACCATATTTGAATTTTTGAATAAAATTGAATTCACTATCTGAATTACTTTGAAATAAAAGAAATATTTTTGGACAATTTTAATCTAGTACAATGTGAGTGTCACACGTGGCCATTTAACGTTCAAATTAAAAAGATTACATATACGAGTGCAACAAATGGTAGGTTAAGACATTAATTCCACCCGCCCTAACCCAAGGTTGGGGGCCCTTACTAAAATTAACCCTTTGTTTAATTAGGTCACCAGTTTTTCTTGGAACATTACAACTCAGTGACATAGCCGGCTGAAAACAATAACATAGGATAAATTTATACTGTATTAATTATTCGAGTTTTTAATTTCCAAATAAAATCTCCATAGCGAAGCTATTTCTTCATAGAATCAATTTTTTTTATTTTATTTATTTTTTTGGGCCCAAGTAAACTGGACTGGTTGCGGAGTTGTCACATGAAAGGCACATGGGATGTTTTTTTCTCCTTAGTATTTGTAAATTAACAAGTCATTACCAAGTTCGGTGTTCGGATTTCAATTCACCCCAACAAAGTCGAGCAATGCAAGACAAACTACGAATATAAAAGAGGACTTTCTAGTTTCTATTAGATAAGACATAAAATTCTCAATAAAACATTTTAGTCCAACCCCCATTCCCCTTTCAAAATGAATCTCGTTCGGCACTTTTATGCTCCATGTTAAAACGAATATGAATTTAGAGTGGAACTGATAAACCAATCAACCACGTAATTTCACGTTGTTTGAGAATTTTATTGGAGGGAGATAGTGTCCCTAGTTCCGTGGGTCTTATTTTGATTTTGCTCTCGAGTATTGTAAGATCGATCTGTCTGAAAGCATCGCGAATGGAAATCTATGGGGGCTTTTGATGAGCAAAGAAAACCTAAAATGTGGTACAAATATAACTGATATGAATACCCTAGCTAGTGTACTAAGTGATTGAGGCATGCACGTGAATGGTGCAAATGCAGGCAGCTATCAAGACCTAACTGTAAACACCACCACCAGACGATGACCCGATTGTGGTTGGATGGTCCCGACTGTCATCAAAATGCCAGCCATACAGTCACGGATAAGTATACACGTACTTCTTCTTAACATAGGTCAAGGCCGTACGAATCACAAGAATCCAATATATATGTTGTCATTACTATAATTACTTAATGATAATTTTTTTTTTCTTCATGATTTTGGGTATCTTTGGGCCACGGGGCATAAGCATTAAGCCCTTCGAAGGATGGTTGCGAAACAACCAACCTATTGATATTGGAAGATTCAACGGTTCGTGCTTGACAATTAGGATTTTTAGAGAAACCCATCACGGATTGGCCGAATTTCACATTTTTAAGTCGTGTTTGTTCTCTGGGGGTCCAGACGAAGCCATCTAAACACGACCATGTTAAATTTACTACATTCTAGTTTACGCATCTACCCTAAAGTCAATTAACTATTCATGTAGAATTTATTTCGAAACTTTTTAACTAGATAGACACCCACCTTCACATTCAAATGATACTCTGCAGCATGCTTCGCAGCATAAAACATTGTCAAATGGATATGATTATCATAACAATGATTATTATGATAGGTCGTCACACTTTCAAAATAGGTATATCAACAACTTGAAGGTTTTTTTATGGCTAAAATTACTTGTTTAAATGCTTGCATCAAAAGCATGACAGATGTTGTTCCAGAAGAGAAAATAGCAACCAAAAGTTGTTTAGTGCAAATGGTATTAATCTTTATCTTGCTAAATAAGTGACTTTCAAGCTAAGATTTCCAAAGAGCTAGTCCACGAAGATGAGATTAGGTAAAATTATTGTGGAATTAAAGTAACTCCACGAGAAATTACAGCTTAATGTGTTTATTTCTTTAAAAGCATTTTTGAAGTGGGGTGGAGGGAATCAAATCTAATTTACGGTGGGATTCTTCGCCATTTTTCTACTTAAAAATAATTGCTTGAATTTTAATGTTTAATATGCCTTAAATTTTAGGGCTAGTATATTATTTCTCCTATTTTTTTTTTTTTTATTTTCGCACAATTCTACTTGATTACTTATAATTGTTGATAGTAGAAAATGACGTGGCACTTCTTAGTCGACTTTTGAACAGAATTACAGTACTGTATGGCTAGAATTTAAGTAGAACAAGGAAGTAATATTGCTAGAATTTAAGTATTAGTGATACAAAGAGATTCTCATTTCGCCCATTTTCATTTCCTCACCCTTTTATATAGGTTGTCGAACACAAGTTTGTTGTTCTAATCATGTCAAACTACAGTGTCTGACCTACGTTTATGTGCTACCACTCGCCTTAGACGGATTTGATTGTTTGGGGAGTGCGGTGTAGCATAATTATCATGATACATAGGGTTTAGGCTTTGCTTTAGGTCATTATGTTTTCTTCTGATGGGTGGGTATGGACGATGCTGCTGTTAAAGGGAGAGCACTTCTTTTGTCACTTAATGATGATATTTTACTTATAGCATCTCCTATGGTCCTGTCACAACTTGTGTCAATATGTCTTTGGATAAACGTTCCGAGATGACATGTCCAGTTTCTTGACAAAAAGGATGCTTTGACCAAGTCAAGGTTGACCCTTGATTTGACATGAATTTCACGTCAGCTGTAACAATTGTACCCCAAGGTCTGAGTTCTACCTTTAGTATCAGACCTTGATTCAACCTTTATTTGATAGAGATTTTTCTTAAAAGGTTAAACCTCAACTTTAAGGGTCCCCATCGTTCCATTCGTAGAACTTTGTGAGGGAGGTAAATCGCGGGATGTGTCTCAACAGATCTGGGAACAAGAGCTGCCAGTACACTGCATCTACAAAGAGTCCAATTCTATGTCTCAAGAATCGAACCTCCACACTGCGGCTGCCAGCAAGGCGTGAGATAACCTCACTCCTATCCTTTGTACCACTAGGCTATGCCCCGAGTGCGATAGAGATTTTTCTTGATTCTACCTTTAATTGACATGAGATTTTTCTTCATACTCATTTGATAATAACAATCTTAAATTGAATACTCCTTGAACTCATTGACAAATTAAATTTCTTGTTTATGCTTGTTGAATTCTAATATCATATTAAATCCTGTGATTTTAGCTTAAGAGGTCAACCTTGTAAGAGGAGTGACTTAGCACTTTTATATTATTTTTTGTTTTTATTTTTATTTGATATGGAATATATTCTTAACATTCTCAATAAGATGACGGCTTGTTTGAGAATATCAGCCTTGAATTCAATTTCTCATTTGAGCTTCAAAGATGACTAATTTGCTTTATTGAATTTAGTGAGTTTTGATCTATACTTAGAGTCGATGTCCTATTCTAAAATGTCAAGCTTATTAAAGGAAGTAACTCAAACTCTTATGTATTGGTTATATAGTTTCGATATTTATTTGATGAATTATTTTTTTAAAAATTTTTGAATGTGTAAAATTTTTACAAGATAGATTGTTAGTAATGAATAATGTTATAGCAATATTAACAATACCTATATTGTATATTAATTGATCCGTTTACGAAAGTCCTTAATCTATAGAATACAATGTACAAAGTCTTTGAAGTATTATAAGTTTTCTTCTGTAATGATACAACGTAATAAGCATTTATTACAAACACACAATGTATAGTAGCCTTCCTTTAGTGCTTTAAAGATTGTGTAAGCCTGTAAATAGCATTGGAAGAACTAATGCACATATAAGGAAAGGAAAGGAAAGGAAATTTCTTTTATAATTCTTTTGTGTTTTCACTAGATTGTCTAATTAATATAAGTTTTCTTATTTCCCCCGAACTTCATATTTTTATGGTAATTCATTCCTTCTTGATTGAAGAACAAAAAATTGTGAAAAAAGGTATTATAAATTCGAAAGGTCGAGGAAAAGTTGCCAAATACTTAGATAGAATTATTGAAGAATAGTGTTTTATTAAGAAAATTGAAATTGGAAGAGATATATTTGGCTCCATTATAATGTATTTTTGAAAAAAAAAAAAGTGTTTTGGAATTGTGATTTTTTGAATGTATGGTTAAAAAATAGGCAAAAAATTTGAATTTTCGTATAATATTATTTTATAAGAGAATGTGGGGTTGAAAATAAATTTTGAAAAAATGGAGCCCAAACATGGAGATTATAGGAGAATTAGTGTATTCAATTAGGACTTTTGAAGACTTTGATGAACTTTTTTTAAGTGATGACTTTTGTAGATTTCGTGGATCTTTTATAGATTTGTATAGATTAGTAAAAGTATTTCGTAAACTTCTATAGTTTTTCATTTTAAAACTTTTATAGATTTTTGTAGAATTCAAAAGACTTTTGAAAACTTTTATTTGAAATAGAATTT